CATGAGGTTCATGAGCAGGATTACGGTGATGATTTCGAAGACGAGCACCAGAATGCTGGGAATCCATTGACGGGTGCCTGAAAGATACATTCCTTATGAGAGCCTCTTTTTTAGAATAGCAATTTCTTGTGAAAGGCGGATCTAGGCATATCAACAAACTCTATATGTCAGCTACATAACCTCTATTTCGGAAGAAGGACAATAGCGCAGAGGGTAAATGGGTAGTGTCCAGGGAGAGGAGGCTCAAAAGCCCTCACTGGATCGATATGATGATGTTTTGTAGTTATGCCCATTATTCACACGTTTGTCTCAAGAAACTCCACAAAAAAAAACAGATCCATAAAAAACTGGGGCATTATTGATCGTCCCAGAAAGCTATTGTGGAGAGGACACGGATGCCATTAAGTCCACGATTCCTAATGAGGCGCGTGTATGTGGCGCATTCCAAAGTGCATCAAATCCACTCAATGTCATTTTTCATGCAGAGTCAAATGTTAATCAACTGGTTATGTTCAATAATAATATGCCAATATTTGCTTGAACACGAAACCCTTCACTCCAAACCAAACGGAGTTCAAATTTTCAATTACCGCTTTTATTAGCAGCTTTTTACTTCACCACCGTTTTTTCTTAATCAGACCAGTGAGAAGAGTTTTAGCGAACAGCGAACGTTTCAGATTTACATCTAGTCGAACGTTTGATGACAATACCCCTCGTCGAAGTGCTGCCACTTCGAAGATTCCCATTGACGGTGCACGAATATCTTATGGGGAATCAATGAAAGCAGTGGATCAATGAAGCCCCTGACGTGATGCCGACTCCAGAAATGGTGCTGTGAGACCCTTCCCTCGACTTATTGCAAAATTCATAGCCGTGACGGCTTCAGCCGACACTCAGCATCGTCAAGAGCTCTAATTGGAATTGACAGTGCGGCGGCTGGGAAATGAAGCCAGCGCTTGAGTACTTCCTCGGGGCTTCCTCTTCTCGCCGTTAATATACTGAGGTCGTATGACAACGGATATAATTAGCAATGCATACGTTATGCATAGGTTTCAATGGAATAGGAAGAATTGTTGGCCGGGTGATATTCGTTCGTGGCGAATTTGGGCATACTCGATAGAGTTATCGGGTGGTGGTGTTAAGTTCTGGAAAAGATTTAAAGGCCCATAACACCTTCAAACACACTCCAAACGAACAGTGAGGTAACTAGTAGGGGGTGGGGGTCTATCCCACCATAACTGTCTATGTCTCCGTTGAAGTACGATATCCTGCAGACTGTGCCATGCATTTGACATCTATTCATTATTATTAAGGGGTGTGTAATGAAATATGAAATGTTTATCTAACCGATTCGCTACTCATGGGAAAAAACCAGAGCATGGTCATCAAAAGCTTCGACACCCTCAGTTAGTTCAGTACCCCTTGCCCTAATTAGAAATCATCCCCTGATTCATCCCCCCCCTAATTGGAAACCGAAATGCAGTGGTTCAAGGTTTTTGATAACGAAATAAAAGAGTGACGTGTATACGCTGGCAATTAAATGGCACCACCAGAATGCGCAATGCATCTGTCTTTACTGACAACGCAGCTCAGCTTGGAGTATTCAAAAAACGGACGTGCGTGAAACCGAGTCTATGATCAAGTTAGACGAGGTTTTGATCGCCTCGGGTAGGCCTCGCTAAAGGTGATGGACCCCATTAGTGCGGAAGGCTTGTTTACGTGAGTCGGGCTTATTTTCAGGGACTGCATCAAAGCAATGGGGCTTCTCGGATCGTTACTGTCAGATATACTGCAAATTTTTATCAGCCTTTCATGAAAAAAAAAGGTCCACGAACCAAGAATGTCATTTGCATCCACCTCGCCGATCATCAAGGGATGTTGTTGTGATCGCTTTGAAGTATGATGAACAGTTTCTCCAGTACCGTGGCGTTGTCATCCTAGAAGTAGAACACCATTGAAAGTGCTCTACCATGTATTGAAGAAAACTGCACATTCAACTCACAGTCTTCAAGCTCTCCCATGGCTCTGTGCCCGAATCTCTCATGATCAGATGGAACGCAAACGAGAACGCGACTAACGTGGGAATCCAGATGGTGGCGATCTAGACATATGTAGGCCGTATTCTGCCCAAGTATTTTAGGTTGATACCAGCTGTCAAACGAACGCATATGCGGACCATCATAAATATGTAGATGCCGTAAGGGGATTTCCTTAGTATGTAGAGGAAATTTACCCATGCGGAAATGATGGCCACAATAGGAAGAAACCAAAGGACAACTTTCCTGAAATTGGGTTAAATAAAGGCAATAGCTGGAAATGCCTGCAATGGGCGAATTCAGCTTAAAAGATACACGAGTTTTTTTTCTGCAGAATTGAAAGAGAAGGGAGAGCGAAGCCCACTCGAGAGCCATGCATGCGAGGATTTTTCTTTCGCGGTAGAACTGATGGAATACAGGAAAAATGGAAGCAATGTCCCATATAGAAAATTTCTATCCTAGTAGCTACAAAACGAGAAAGCCTTGAGAGGGAGCAACACGGGGAAGGGTCAGACCTCAAAGAAATAAACCGATCAAGTAACGAACACCCCCCCCCCCCACCTCCTCAGGCTAATGTATAAACGAAAAAAATGAAATATTAAAGAGTTACCTTAACTTCCTCGTGATAATCATCGTAACTGAAAAAAGTCGGCAGCCAAACGTAGAGGAATGTAGCAAAATAGGTGGCCAGATTAAAGGTGTATGCGATTACGAACCAGAATGAGATCGAGTGTGAGATACGAGCTTTTATTGCTCCTTTAAGAAGCTGAAATGGTAATAAGCTCATTTTGAACAGAATAGGCCTGCACTGAAACAGTGAAATAATGAAATATTAGAAAACTTGATTTTAATTCCGGATTTTTTATTTAATTTGAAACTGCGCCTAATCCGAAAAGTGCCTAGGCTGTTGATGGAACTAAAATAAATGAAATATCAAACTAATCCCAAAATTCCGATTAGAAGGAGGATTTTTGCGATAAGGTCGTAGGTCAACGAAAGAATACGCTTAGTAGAAAGGCGCGAGCCCAACACCAAGGCATTGGCGCACGTTTCGCAGTCGAGAGCATGCTTCAGTGGCTGCGAGGCGATTATACGCGGCGTTGGGACTCTTCACGCCTCCTACAATGGCCCACGCCGTCTGACTCAAGCCGTCTAGCAAAGAACGAAAGTGAGCAGCAGCGATAAGAGGCACCAATGTGGAAATCTCTGGGCAAGGAACGGGTTCCTTTTCTCATTTCCTGGACCGTTTCCATAGTTTTTCCTTCATCCATGAGCCAATGCTCACTCACCTTAATTTTTAATGGGATGCTTTTCAACAAGAACTCCGCTTTCGAAGACATGAAAACCTTGATTTGAGACTGTCCACATCCTCACTCCCTTACATCCCTCTGCGGGAAAATAAAAGCTCATCAGAAAGGCCTAAGATTGACAGCACAGAAAGATTGCGAAACATCCGTAAATGTAGTAAGATTGTGAAATTTAGTGAAACCCCCAGTAGCTTCTAAAATGAGAAAATCAGATAGAAATTACCATGAAGAAAAGGAATAACGCTATGAAAGCTGTGACCGCGATGTCTTTAGCCACTGTGCTTGAAAAAATATGCGATGACAGCAACAACAGAAACACACCAAAGGCTGAAAATTATTTAGTGAAAACAACAAAACGCCATCCAGAACATTCAGAAAAAAAACAATACCTAGAATATGAAGAGTATAGAAGAAGCACAATCAAGAAGACGTTCGTTGATGAAATTCAACACCATCGGATGGCGCATCACACCCCATTTGTTGTCTTTTTTCTTAATGAATCAGAACAAATATGAAAAAAAAATCCGGTCACAATGAAAGGCGAAGAAGAGAGAGTAGAATTATTTAGGAGAGATGCATTAGGACATGCTATCCACATTCGGTGACTTACAGAAGACTCATCCGAAAAGGCAATGGAGCGGGCTTTAAATGCTATCGAAGCGGGTTCATCAGCGTCATTAGATAGTAAATCCGAGGAGCCGAAATTGCAGCGGATGGAATTAGGCTAACATAAAAGCTGCTCCAGCTGCTTCACGATAGGGAATTGCTCTAATCTTGATAAAACTCAGAACCGGAAGACAGAACTGGCTCCGTTGACAGCATACTGCTAACTCCTGACATCCCGCACGAGTATGTTGGTCCATATCCGGAGACTCCGCTGGCTGGAAGCAGCTTTCAAAAAGCATCTTCAATTTTGGAAAATTATTCTGAGGGCATAACTCATCGAATGTATGGATGGAGCTTTCTGGTAGACGCGCCTGAAGCTTCCGTGATCTCAAAATTATGCCCATATACCCATCCAACCTCAGCTTTCACTGTTTTGTCACATTTTACATAAAATTTTCCATTAGGTTCTCTACCATGCCACTTTTCCCTGACGGGAAATTTTCGTAGATAAAGCGAGAGCAACGTGCACTGTGAGACATACAATCTGCTAACTTGATCCTCTTCATTTGTCATTTTACTGAAGCTTCTTTGGCCGCTAGAAGGGCATCAGTCACACTAAAAAGAGGTAGTTGAATAAGAACTAACGCCTTACGGGCAGAATGATTCCTCTTGCCCCTGAAAGGATCAGCGGTTGAACCATTGTATCACGCAAACGACCACATCAGAGCTTTCCAAAACACCTCTGATTATTGAGAACACTGCCGTGGAGAACTTTCCGAGGTGGATCGCTACAAGTCATAAACTGCGGATTGAAATACGATCGCCCGGAAAAATTAAACAGAATGTTGAAATAAACTAGGCACGTGTACGTCAGCACAACTGTACCAAGCGAAGTTATTACGCGATCGTTCGATAGGGAAAAGAAGATAGAGACGCAAAAGAAAACAAAAGAACAGGAAGGATGGGAAGAGAAGACGGATAAAGATAGAGTAAGCTAAAAAAAAGTATAAAAGACACAAAAACATCGGGCTAGATATTAAAGTGAGGTATAGAAAAACAATAGTAAACTCACCAAGTCTCTCAATACTCGCCAATCGATCACTTCTGAGGAACTCTTTCTAAAAAACGAAAAGCTTTGTAAACACTTCGTGCTCAAAACTTTCAATCATACTCACAGCACGAGGGGAATGATCTCATCTGGAGAAGCTTTGACGGTCGAAATTCATCAAAAAATCAGACCGACACTACATCGAATGCAGCCGTTCGATTCACTTACGTTTTGAGTAATCAATAAATAAGGAATATCATCTTCTCTTCAGCATCGAGATGTTTCACTCGACTCCTCGAGTTGAAAAACTCGAGAGTATTTCTGCAATATTCAGTTTTCATAAGAGACTGACATAAGTCAAACTACCAATGTTACTGCTTTTAATGAACAAACAGCGTTCCCGACAATTTATTTGCTCGTGTTACGAGAAACTTTCCATTCTCCCAAAGGTCAAAGTCACCGGAGACGCGCTGTATTGGAGCCTAAGGTTAAGTTGAGGCTCGCTACGAGCGAATCCTAATCAGAGCTCCTAACCTGACAAAGAGAACATTCTTTCGCATTTAACGGTACAGGGTATTTTCGAGAGCTCATGTCCAGGGCAACGCTAAGCTGCGACGACAGTTCAGTGCTAGCAATAGTGGTTACTTCCTTATGTGGTCAGGGCAGGAAGAACAACTATGGCACCATACCACACGCATGATGCGTGGATCAAAGCCTTCGCTGAATATTACCGAGGTTCCCGTTCACCGAAGTCGACACCTGATTCGATTACTCGAAATACTTGTCCAGGGAGTAAAAACACTGGCTAACCTCTCTACTCGCCCCGAGATTGAGATGCATTTTATGGGCCAAACACTCATAATGAGGAAATTGCGATATGTGAATGGAACTCCAGCGCACGGTGCATTCCCGAAAGGTTCCAATATTTGATGCCTGACCAGACTTTCTCAGTAATAATAGCAATCAAAAAAGTTTAAACAAATGAGGCACTGGCAGTAAGAAAAAAAGCGAACGAGAAGGACGCCAGCCAAAAGAGTTGCAGCCCCATATGCCGTCAAACATGGGAAAAATAATAGTCACGATTAAGCGCGGTAACTAGAAACCAAGGAAGTGTTGATGGAATTTAATATGGTAAGTTCAACTATGAGGCTAATTTTGGAATGCCCGAAATTTCGTAGCCACAACCGACGTCGAATTCCAGACCAATTTTTCAATATAGACACTATCAGGGGAGCTATTCCGCCTTGTTTGCCTCCAAAAGGCTTCCTTGTCGTTTTTTTTTCGTGGAAATTCTATAAGCCATCAACCAATATGAACGAATTTATAGCCTACTTAAGAAAAAAAAATTCGAAAATCGATTTTGAGGGTCTTGTTTTGCAGTAAAAATAGTGCACATTTGAAAATTACTTTCATGCAACCATCACCTAGACCTTGTTTCTTGTGTTTTGATCTGCGGATCTGACAATAACACCTACGAACTCCACAGCTGTTTCATATCCAGCAGAGTAACTTTCAATGGTTTGATCGAAGAAATATTTGATATCAAAATTCCTGTAATTTCTCGACTGGAAAATTTAGGGTATTAAGGACTGGAAATAACGCGGATCAGTACGCTTATGTTGTGCAGTCGGAAAAGGGTGATAGAAATTTTAATAGATTCCCTTGCAAAAAGTCGTTGTCAAATCAAGTCAATATCAACTTAGCCAAATAACTGTACCAAAACCTGGAGATTGAATTCATGGGAGGTAAATATTTGAACGCCGATCTAGTCAGAAATACATTTCTTAAGACCACCCAAGTAATCTCAGATTTCCAAAGAAAACACTCGATTTCGGAAACAATTTGCAGAAAACTGTCACTCATAACTCACTGCTTTGCCTGCTCACTGACTTCTAGAATTTCCAGAATAAACTATCATATATCTGGCTTGCGCGCTTGCAGGGCAAGCGTTACTGAATGAAAACCTTTCACAAGAATACTGAGTTATGAGCAAAACCCTGGTCGAAGACGGGATTCAAGCTTGCATCTCCAGTTTACCGGGTAATTGTGCTACCTCTTACACAACCCGGGACCACTCATTCCATATCAGTTTTTGATGATATATTTACCATAACAACTTGGCTTCTGCATGAACCTAGAAGTTCCCAATAGGTCTGCAGCTCATTTTCAATTCGATCTTCTCCCCTATAACGTAACCCTTTCAGTCGGTTCTCGAGGATTTTCCGAGCTTCCGCGTAATTTTGACATGCAACAACCCATGACGTGAACCCCCGGACAGATGACGAGCGGCACGGCCTCCGTGGATTGTTTGATGTGACATTGTCATGCCCGTTTTCGCGCAGAGAAGGGAAACGACGAGCTCGGGTATGGTTGCCGCGGGGATCTCTTTGATACTTCAAGTGGTGATCGGTCTCTCACAAAGAAATCGCGGAAAATTCTCAGCGGCTCACCCTCGCGGCAAACCCCCGCGTTCATCGTTCGGAACAAAAGATCTACTCAGCCGGCCGGAGTCGGCACTCTTTAAAAGATTCAACAATTCTCACGGTTTCGGATCCTCGTGCATTTTGACGGGATGAAGTGGACTGCTTTCTACTGGACTGAAATATTCCTACATAAGAAAAGATTTGAGCAATCATACGAGGATGGCCTCAACGAACCTTGATTGTCACTGAGGCATCGGATTTGATGTACGGAGGTCGTCAAGAGTGAGTTGAAGAGTGTAAAGCCGCGAGGATCGACGACGACAGATGCGCCGCCGGGGCTAAATTACTCATAAATAAATGAGAAGCGGATAATTAGAAACGAAAACGAGGCAATTCGCGAAGATAATTACTCGCTGTGTGGAACTTCTCATCAGGAATATTGATCCTTCAATCATATTAGCAATTTGTGGTCCTAAACACTTTCCCTGTATCGACAGTCATGCGTGGGGGTCCGGCCTCGAAAACTAGACTAATTTGTGATCGATTCGAAACTCAAACACCAGTCCTCATCGGCACATTGATCCCGATTTGGAAATGTTTGCCGGGCGCGGGGTCTGTTATTGACACACGGGTGCCTGCAGCCGCAGTCGCTGCTGGGGTACGGTAGCGGTGGCAGCGGCGGCGGCCAGCCAACCGACGACCACTAGGGGAGGAATCGAAGCGATGGGAAACTTTCGCCATGCATAATCTGTGCTCAACCAAACGACATCGCTATTCGTTGCGGACCATGACGATGAATAAACAGCGCTGCAATGCAGCAACAGAGCCTTATCAGATCGATGACCGAAGATTACGGTAGGGGAAGCGCTCGAATGAATCGATGACGCATCCCTCGGCTGGAATTTCAAGTCAGTCGGGATCGGATGTCAGCACTGCAACGTTTCGTTGGGCTAAGTGAGATGGTGGGAAAATGAGAAAGGATTAGAGAAAGGAAGGAGTTAAGCTGAACCAGAAATACTCTATGAGAAAAAAAGGAGATAGGCAGGAAAAGAAAGAGGACTGCAAATGAAAATCTGGTGTAGTCCTTAGAAGACATTTGCGAAAAAAGGAGAATTTCTTGAGTGGAACTTTGCTTTTGCCTTGAAACAA